GTTCAACTTCCTAGGTCAAAGGTCAAGGTCAAAAACTTTGGTTTTAGTTGACAACCCCATGTCCTATGGTAAAGATCGTGTCCGCTCTATATCTTGAGAACCGTTATGATTTCAAAGTTTATACTTGATATGTATATTAACCAACACCAGAGGGTGTGTCATAATGTATGTACAACTTCCTAGGTCAAAGGTCAAGGTCAAAAACTTTGGTTTCATTTGACAACCCCATGTCCTATGGTAAAGATCGTGTCCGCTCTATATCTTGAGAACCGTTATGATTTCAAAGTTTATACTTGATATGTATATAAACCAACACCAGAGGGTGTGTCATAATTTATGTACAACTTCCTAGGTCAAAGGTCAAGGTCAAAAACTTTGGTTTCATTTGACAACCCCATGTCCAATGATAAAGATACAAATTTTTTACCACACATTATTCACAGCTGGGCCCACAGAGATGGCTCCCATCTCAATGATATCTAGTTGTATCTATGTATGTTGATTTCACTTTTACTGTAGAAAATTAACACAATTTATAAATATTGTTTTAAAGAAAAGTAAAACTCTGCAAAAAGCATAAGCAAATATAATTTTTTTTTCAAGAACAGGACTTGAAAGTGTTAACATATTTGTTATTAGTCTTAAGCACTGTGCAAACTTTGATAGTATAAATTTTCCTTACGTCTATAATTTTTATGTCCTGGGGTACGTATCTAGTCAATGAAACTTGGCACACATCATATATCTAAAACCATTCAATCTCCTATATATAATATTGTGCTAATATATAATATTTGTGTACACAAAATCTGAGACCATATTTGAATTGAAAAGTCTACGCTATCACGATCATGCCCCCTGCAGACCATAATTGTAATTTACTTTAGGATTTAAAACACAGAATTGATCTCTTTTAAAAGGGCACTATCCTTGTACAATTTCAGTATAAAGTATCTAGAGTAAAGCATGAAAGGTAGTAAAATAATATTTTTTGCAAGATGACATTGCAGATTATCTAGTTTTATTTGTCAGAATGGTATGACAAGAGAAAATTTAAGATTTATACCCAATGACAGATTATAAGTTTTATAGTATCTCTTCTCAAAAAGAACTTTTTCTTTTAAAAGTTAAATCCACATAAAATCTACCTGTCATATTTTTTTAAAAGACTTGGTCTCCTCAGTGTTGAGTAAAATGGTCTTATTCAGCAAATTGATATTTATGAATAAAGAACGTTTATTGTTATGTTAGGTCAAGTTACAATTAATTTTATTAGGTTTAAATGATTTCTTAAAAATCAATTGAAAAAGATAGAACAGAGTTTGTTTGTGGTGTAATTATTTGTTTATCATCTCCTTTGCAGGGGGTATTATATAACAAACAAAACTATCATAATTTTCCACATAATATTCTGGATTCTCCTGGTTGACTTACTTGTCTTTATGCTAAATGGTCTCCAACTTTTCATCTTTAAGTTTCCTGTAACATTAAAAGACAACTTATGTAAGATTAATAATCATCATACATAACGGAATAACCTTTAGCATTTGTTGTAAGAAATACTCTGATAGTGGTGATATCAGTATTCCAATAATGTTCTCTGGATTGGGTATTTTTATGGCCCCGCTGACTTGGGTCAGGGCCATAAAGATTTATCCGTCATTCCACAAAGAACAGTTATACAGACATTTTTCCTAAACGCCTTCACATATTGTGCTGATTTTTATGCCCCACATAGGAGCATTATGTTTTTCGGTCTGTGCGTCAGTTTGTCTGTTCATCCGTCCGTCTGTTAGTCTGTCCGTGTGTTAGTCTGTCTATCTGTTAGTCTGTCTGTCTCTTAGTCTGTCCCGCTTCAGGTTAAAGTTTTTGGTCATGGTAGTTTTTGATGAAGTTGAAGTCCAATCAACTTGAAACTTAGTACACATGTTCCCTATGATATGATCTTTCTAATTTTAATGCCAAATTAGAGTTTTGACCCCAATTTCACGGTCCACTGAACATAGAAAATGATAGTTCAAGTGGGGCATCCATGTACTAAGGACACATTCTTGTTGGTATGTGAGTCAACTATGATGAGTTCCAATCGAGTTTACGTTTGGTTCTGCTCCGCTGTTTTTTACTAAAATCATGGGCTTTGGACTTTGAAATTTTCTTAAAAGTAATAGTTATAAAGACTTTTTTCTAAACGCCTTCACATATTGAGCTGATTTTTTGTATGCGATTCTACTATGATGAGTTACAAATCTATTTTACATTTGATTCCCCTCTGCTGACTTTTGCTAAAATTGCATGCTTTGGACTTAACAAAATTTCATAAATAGTTAAACAAATTTTTTTCTAAATGCCTTCACATGTTGAGCTGATTTTAGTATGTGAGTGAACTATGATGAGTTACAAATCGAGTTTACGTTTGGTTCCCCTCTGCTGATTTTTGACGAAATTACGGGCTTTGGACTTTGAAAATTTTCACTCCTAAAAATGGCTTCAAGCTTTTTATCGAGCAGGGCCATTCGTGACGTGTCGTTCCATCACATCTAGTTTTTAATGTCATATAAACACTTCAGTGACAAAAAGGAAACCTCCAGTAAAGGTGATGAATGAGTAAAAAGAAGGAAATTCACCTTTACTATATTGTTTAGTGTCTGACAAATAGAACAGAAGTAGAGTTTGGAAGGTGTGCATGATGATGGAGTCCATTTGGATGGTGTTAAATGGCTGATAGTAATTCATATATATATGTGTCCACTGTACTATGCAAGTGAAACAGAAATATATTACATCCTATCTTGCAATATTTAATTGTATCATAGCTTGTAATATATTACATATGATTGTATGTTATCTTGCTCCTTGATTTGCTGGACAGTAAACAACACATAAATTCGCCTTAAAGTTGTCTTTCATTTAAAAGTACATGTAGTTTTTGGAAATTGGCCAATTTAATGAAATTTCAGATATTTGTGTATACAAAAAGTTTGCCAATTTCAGGCACTAAATCATTGGTTACAAATTCTTATGTCACATTGCTCCTTTTATCACTTTCTCAGTTCATTCATTTGAAAACAAATTATGTAACTTTCCATGTCAAACCTGTTTAATTAATGACCGACAACTGTAATGAATAAGTTGATTTTCAAGTCAATAAATTTGAAGTCTTTGTGAAACTCCTCAAGTATATGTAAGGAAAGTCTTTGAAGAGACAAATATTTAGATTTAACACTTTCCTTACAGGGACAAAATGATAATTAACCGTCCATGTTTGTTCACTGCAGAATTCAGTGTTGTGTAAGATTATTTTATCATAAGTACACAGAATTAAACAATTTGAAATACAATTATCGGTTTCCATTGTCTGTATATATAGATGTCTGCTTCTAAGTTCATTATAACTAACTTTAGTTAAGGACTACTCCTTGCTTTTGTTCATGTTAAATTTATCCCCTGCACTTATGGGCCTAATTCAACCACACAAACTTTAGTGACCTGATCCAACCACACAAACTTTAGTGAACTGATTCAACCACAGAAACTTTAGTGGCCTGATTCAACCACACAAACTTTAGTGGCCTGATCCAACCATACAAACTTTAGTTGCCTGAAACCAACCACACAAACTTTAATGACCTGATCCAACCACACAGACTTTAATGACCTGATCCAACCACACAGAATTTAATGACCTGATCCAAACTCACAAACTTTAGTGGCCTGATCCATCCACACAGACTTTAGTAGCCTGATTCAACCACACAAACTTTGGTGGCCTAATCTAACCACACAAACGTTAGTGGACTGATACATCCACACAAACTTTATTGGCCTGATCCAACCACACACACCTTAGTGGCCTGATCCAACCACACAAACTTTAGTGCCTGATCCAACCACACTAACTTTAGTGGCCTGATCCATCCACACAGACTTTAGTGGCCTGATCCATCAACACAGACTTTAATGACCTGATCCAACCACACAGACTTTAATGACCTGATCCAAACACACAAACTTTAGTGGCCTGATCAATCCACACAGACTTTAGTGGCCTGATCCAACCACACAAACTTTAGTGGCCTGAACCAACCACACAAACTTTAGTGGCCTGATCAATCCACACAGACTTCAGTGTCCTGATCCAACCACACAAACTTTAATGACCTGATCCAACCACACAAACTTTAGTGGCCTGAACCAACCACACAAACTTTAATGACCTGATCCAACCACACAAACTTTGGTGGCCTGATCTAACCACACAAACTTTAGTGGCATGAACCAACCACACAAACTTAAATGACCTGATCCAACCACACAAATTTTAATGACCTGATCCAACCAAACAAACTTTAGTGGCCTGATCCAACCACACAAACTTTATTAAGTGCAGGGCTTAATTGGCAATAACTATGAGCAAAACAAAATTTATACTACAGCTGTGTGACAGAATATAGATTCTATGACTGCATTAAGTGTGATACAATATTTCTCTACTTGAGACAGTTGAATATTTAAATTTGAAATGAGAGTCTTGCCTAGCTTTTTAGATATTTAAAATTTTATCTGTTCAGAGTGGAGACATATTGTATTGCACAAGAATCAGTAGTTGAATATGTTTCTCCAAAAATTTTAAGCAGATATGTAGAAAAACTTCGTTAATCTGCAAAAAGATGTGTTCTTCATATGTGATGTCATCGGGCATCGTCGCCTTTTTTTAAAGACATCACAATAGTATCTTCAGAGGACAGCAAGAAAATTTGACATCATAAATGAATTTTGACCAATGAAGAACTAAGATCCACACTTTGATAATGAAAAAAATAATCAACCAGTCAGGAAAGGTATAACTCAGATAAGAATAAGAGAAAAGTTTTTACACTGTCATTGAACATTCTGATATGTCATGTAAAATAAAGTATGGTTCAGTAAAGGGTGACCAATCTGTACAGTACAAAAATAATACTATCAGTGTACTGAGAACTATATTTACTTATATTTTACAGGGTATTATTGATTTCAAAGAATCAGATGATTTCAAAGTCTTGTTAAATGTAACAGCGCCATCTATAGAAGAAGCTTATGCTGTCACAGCAGATGTTACAGAGAGCAAAGGGAGGTTACTCATACAAGTGGTAAGTTGAAAAATTTTCTTAGCATCAAACACTATATTTTTTTAATTCTAAGTATCATATGAACCTGAATAATTAAGTCTTACTTTTGAAAAATGTTGCATAAGACAAAATGTAACTATCTTTATCTGACAGCAGCAATAGGAAAAACATTTTTTTATAGAGACTGAAGAGCTGAACGATTCATATATTTTATAGTTATTATAGATTTCGATGGTCATAAATTTTCATATTACTTTTCCATTGTTCTAATTGACTTCAATTTCGTGGTTAAATAAGTAAATGGTCAACTATTTTAAGTCTATAGCATCTTTCTTACCGGGCGCACCTTCTGTATGTGATTTGATCAGTTTCAAATGTTAAGTTTTTATGATAAACAAGAAAACCAATAGCCTAATTTATGACAAAGCAATAAAAGAAAAACAAATATGACAGACAGCAACTAACACCAACCACTGAACAATTTTACGCTTAATAGAGATGTCAGGATTGAGACAGGAACAGAACCAAGGGAAAAATAGAAAAGTAGTGCTATGTTGCTTATACAATTGATATGTGTCTTAGTTAAATGATTTAATTGTTTTTCAGTACAAAAATGAATAATGATCTTATTGTATTTCAGTATGAAAATAAATTATCTTCATCACTAATAACGTTACCATGGATATTTATAATAATAACCATGGCGACATGTGTTGTCATCATCTTGGCCTCTGCTTATGCTCTCTGGTGGTATTGTTCTAAGAAGTATCTGGATCTTCAGCGAGACTACTATAGTCATGGGAATGTGATGTTCCGTTCCAGAAACAGTGAATGTCTGTCATCAGGAGCAGGAGAGTTGCTGATACAATCTGACCATGGACGAGATAGTATGATAGATGATGGCAAAGATTTACCAGATCTTCCAGAGGAAGATGAAGATGAAAATGGAATGGTTTGTAGTTTATTGCTTAAAGTAGTAAAATGATAAAACATAAGAATAAAAGGAGATGTATGGTTTACATAAATTGAAAAACAACCAAACAACAATATATAAGACCCCTCAAGGTCAAAATAAAATCTTCATCAACAGATAAGATACAGTAGTCAATATCTTAATTGGTATCAAAAAAGTAAATATCAAAATTTTCTTCTGCTTGCTTTTTTGTAGAGGGCCTCGTACGATATCTCAATCCAATACTGTGGATTCATTTTTATTCGTGGTATACCAATTTTCGTGGGTTTCGTGGGTCACAGCGAACCACGAAATTAAGAATTCAACGAAGAATAATCCCGAGAAATGTGTATGGAGTCGGATGTTTATTTCCGGTTATGTTATGCAGTTCTAGTATAGTGTTGACTAGCGATAAACATTGTAACATAACACGTGTTTTTATTGAAAGAAGATACAAGTATTTTGATTAAATTAATAATAAATATATCGAATATCAGTGATGATTTACTTTTTAAAATTGATTAAAACTGTTCATGGAAAATAACTGTAAGTTGTTAATTACCGTGTCATAGTTTGGTTTACTGGTGATTAAAAATCAATAGGATTAAGTACGGGGATAATGCCCGTAGGTAATATTGTTTATGACAGGGACATTTATTTTCACACCTTTTACTTATATGACCGTTTATTATATCGTGATTAGGGAAATGAGCTTTCAATCATAGAGTTTTGAATGCCTTATAAAATTCCGACAAGAATTTATAAATTGTAAAACAAACAAATGATTAGTTGTCTCTGTCCATTATCGTAATAGAAGTTTTCAATGAACACTTTAACCTAGAATGACCAAGCGAGGATTTTGACAATTCAAAACTTTTTCAATGATTTCCTTCTTTTTTGTTTGTTTTATTATTGATCAAACTAAGGAGGTTATATGATCTCCTAAATCAAAAAGAAATCCACGAATTACGAATCTGAATTTATTTTTTTTTGTGATCAGCGATCCACGAATTTATGTATACCACGAAACGTCTTTTTTTCTCTATCCACGAAAATTGATACCCACGAAAATAAATGAATCCACAGTAATTGGCAAGTTATAAGCATTAAAAGAAAGAACTGTATGGTGAAAAATCTAAAGCATGGGCAACAAAAACACAGAATATTATTCATAGATTTAAAGCTTTGTAAAAATAGATTTTTATCACACTAAGAAGGCTGTACATGTTAAGAAAATGAATTATGTTGATATAACTACACAACATTGGTTCTTTTAAAGATGTTAACAAGAGTTGTCTCCCATTTAATGTAAAAACAAAGTTTGCTGTAGTTAAGACAAACTATTTACCTGTTTAAAAGTTAAAAGTTTCAAAATTGCAATTATGATTACCTGTTGAAATGTTTCAAAATTGCTTTTTTTAGATAAGATACAATACTAGATAAAATAAGTGTTCACATGGCATGTGTAGCTTTTTTATATGTTTTTATACACTCATTATATAGTTTAAATAAATATTTAACTTTTATATATAATAGCCAATCAGAAGACAGAAAAAAAAGCAAGTTCATAATGATGACAGTGATGAGGACAATGAAAAGGTTGATGATAAGCTGACAATAAAAAGGCGCTATCAACCTCCATCAAAAAGACTGTACAGAGAACAACACATGAGACGTCATGGGAGACGGAAACGTCATCCTTCACTTAATGATCCCCCATCTTATGATGCAGTTATGGAATACCCAGGGGGATCTAGTGATGAGTCTGATGGGGAAGAAACTGGTAAAAAAAAGACATATATTACTAGTGTACAAAGTATGGAGGAGAAAGGAAAGAAAAATAAACCATTTGTTGAAAGTAGTCGTAGTTTTGGTGAACAAACTTCCTATCAGAGTAGAGACCTGTATTCATATAATCCATTAGCCCTTCAGACATTGCCTGTGGCTCATTCTGATACCGAACTCAATGTTCGTAGTCCAAGATACATAGCTCATAATATTCCACCGAGAGGATTTGTAAATCCCATGCATGATGACTATCATGCAAATAGAGATCGAAAAGTTGAAAAAATATTGAACAGTAAAGAATCATTGGTACAGGTTGAAAGGTCAAAATCACCTATAGCAAGAGATGAAATGAAAAGGACAGCACCTATTCCCAGAGAAGAAATAGTGAGGACACCGGTCCACGTTGAACGATCAGCCTCATTCCGATCAAATCATTCTAGGTCTTCCATAAGGCAGGAAAGACCTAAATCTCCAAATACCAATGAAAAAACAAAAACACCCACTAAATATGAACAGTCTGTTACACAAAGCCAACCTGAACGAACAAGTACACCCAATCATTATGAAAGGGGAAGGTCACCTATTTATGTAGAAAGAGGAAAGTCCCCATCATATATTTATGCCAAGGCTAAGAAACCTCCACCAATTAAACTTCCAACAGAAGTGAATATCAGTGAACAGAACAATTTGGGTGATTCCTCAGGGTATATAGAACTGAAAGCAACAACAGGACCACCCATTGAGAAACTAACACCTGTTGACCAATTAGATGCCGTTCAGGGTAATCCAATGGACATCCCTCTCACATCCTTTACTGGATCCCTGAAGAAGAAACGACATAAAAGTAAACCAGAATCAGGTATAAGATTTAGATATAAGATGTGTGACCATCAATAAGACATCAACCCAACAACAATAATAAAACATCTAGAGGGTGACTTACAGTTTTCAACAATAAACAGGTGTCCATACGATACGGCTAGCTCTAAATAGCCTTAAACAGTTGTAAATAAATAAAATAGAAACTTGCAAAGAATTGCAAGAAAAAATAATACTCCAAATAACAAAAAAGCATGAAGAAATGACATACATTGTAAGACATATCTATTGATTGTCCACTATTGTCTCAGATGCATGCAGATCTTGTAATTTCAGACATTTATAGAAGTTATGGATTAATCAATTTGGCAATAAAGAATAAAAACCTTTCTTTATTGAACATATTGATTCTATGATAATATTCATTCTTTTTACCTGCTTCGCTGAAGGTGAAAGCAGGTCATTTTGTACAAGGAAAATGTTCGTCAAACTTTACTTAGCTCCAATTGAAGTGAATGATTTTAATATTTGGTCTAGGAATGATAAGTAAGCTCTGCTCCAATAAACATGTTACCTCAATCAATTACAATTTACATGCAGCGACGCAGGTCCAGACCCATTATTGGTCTTGTTAATTTTGAAAAAAATGCTGTATTAACAAAAGAATCTAAATTTCCTCGGTGAATGACTGGAAGCAAGCCAGATGCAATAGAAAAATTAGACAAAAAACAAAAGACAAAACTATAAAATGATAAAAAGATATGTAAAAAGTTCAGGCAAATATTCTTCTGCAGATGTTTATTACCTTAGTTTTAAAATGATTTGTGGAAATAAAAAACCTGTTGTTACATGTAAATTTTGGCTAATTTCTTTGTAAATACAAATTCTTATAAACACAATTTATAATAATGTGTGCATAGGCATACTGGGAAATGATTAAGGAAAACAAGGTTTATAGTGTAGAGACCTAATATATGTTTATATTCAGGTTTTAGGTCTTTGAAATTTTATTTTTCATAGTTAGAAAATACAAGAGTTTGACTGAACTTTGATAAAATATAAATTTATGAATATTAATAATCAAAATACGATAGATTTCCCTGACTTTTAACAAACAAAGGAAGACTTCAACAAATCAGGATAAGTGAGTCTGAGACTATATTAAACAAAACAAAAACCAAGAAGTCTGTGCTTAATTTATGGGTCTCAGATTTAAGTGGGTTTGATGTATAGTAACCTCTTGAATAAGGGACATTGGATATATGCTCTTGATAAAATCACACTAATTATTTTGTATCTTATCAAAGGTTTATATGTCTTTACTTAAAGGCAATGTTTCTACCAATAAGCCTACTCTGTCATGAAAAAGTGGCTATTAACCACCCAATAATGAATTTATACTTTATTTTCAGGTTCACTGCAGAGAACAGTTTTGGAAGGCTACAATTACAATAATACTTTACCACTTTCTCCCAAGGCTGAATTGAATATAACAGGAACCTCTACGATTAACTCTCAGAGATTTAGTGTGCTAAGTGACAATTCTATATCTCTGTATAGTAGTGGAGAAATGTTCAGTCCTACTAGTCCCTACCAAGAAAACCTAGACGATGATGCTTTTGATTTTGATGTGGAAATTCCTCCTTTGAGGGAGCACGATCTTGATGGTCTGTCAGAAGCTAGTCTTCCACTGCCTAGTCCCCCACCCTATGCTAAGATGCCACCAGGGTATAGTCCTCGGACTTTATTACCATCACCCAAAGTGAGGCCACCACCACTTAGTGCATTAAGTGGACTTAGTATACCTGTAGATGACGATATGTTGAGTAAGTTTGGTGGGAAAAATCTTTCATGCTTTTTACAGTAAAATTTGAGAATTGTGGGTGCATGTATAATATGGCATGTAGAAAAAACTTAAAGGAAAATCCTGTACTTTTTTAAGTGATACACTTAAGAGGCACTGATTTAAAGTTATACACCTCAAATTTAACAAAAAAGTTGAATATGTATTAATACTTGAATGGCTAAGGTTTACTTTAAAACACATCTACATAGACTTTCTTTTAAAAGAAAATCTTTTATTTTATCCAAATCTTCAAAAAAGTACTGCTATTAAATTATTAACTTCCCATACTCTAATTGGATGGTAACTTTTCCATATGCAGTGACCATAACCATGACATCTCTCATTAGAAATTCCGCAACCACACAGCGTTATTGCAAAGGGAAAAACTTAATGAAAGATATTTAAGGTAAACAAATGTGGAAAGAAGATAACAATAGATTGATTTCTAAAAGAAAAAATTTAATGCACCAAATCATTTCAGTTAAAAAAATTGTTATGACAAAGTTGAGTTAACTAATTGGAATGCATGGACAATATAAAAAAAGACAAATAAACATAGCTCTATCATTTCACTTATTTTTTATGTGCTCCATGATTCTGTGTTGATTGCTTATCAAAGTCACAATTTGTTTACTTTAGCACAAAAATCCAAAAGTTAATGAGGGCCAAAGTTTTTGCTCAACAAGCAATGAATGAAATATTTTTGTCAAATATATGTTATTGCTTCATAACGAATATAAAAAAAAATGTAGAATGAGGACTTAGTTGAGTATAGATGCATGCATTGGTTCAGCAATTTCCTTAACATTATGATCACCAGAAACTTATTTCATAACTAAGATCTGAAGAAAAAACAATGATTTAGAATGTATTGATTTTGATTTAACACTTCTTTCATTAACAGATTGGTTTTCTTTATACTGTTCTAAGTAATTGTGTAATTTTATCTTTAGGTGGTACATACATTGGTTTGACGATCTCTCCAACCAACACCATGGATCGTATCTTTCAGTTTCCATCACCTCACCGTGATTCTGGTATTTCCTCAGAACAAAGTCTTCCTCTGTCCCAGGGGGATGAGTCACCATTCTCACCAGCTAAAGCTGTCCATCCTGCACAAAGAAAGTTACCTCCGCCCCCTCCTAGAATGTACTGTCCTCCACACAGATTTTCCTGGGACCGTGATGGAGAGTCCCCTGAACAGGGAGATTATGCAAAATTAAAATCCAAAGAGGAGAATTCAACTAAGGAGAATGAAGAGTTAAAGACTACACCTAGTTCAAGAGGGGTTGGTGGAGTTAGAAAAAAACCCATACTTAAACCTAAACAGTAAGTCTAACTATAGTAATGTTGGTATCAGTTAAAATGTGAACAGTTTAAAAAAATTTGCTTTTGAGACCAAAAATAACCAAAACTTACATTTAAACAGTGTTTCCATTTCCATGGTAACATTTTGAACCAAACCAAGTTACAGGGTTCAATAAATGAAAAAAAAAGTTAAAACTTAAATTCAAACAGAATACTCACTTTTATTTTACAGATTCGTATTGTGATATTTTGTATGTATTGATTTTTGTAATATATTTTACTCTCATCAACAAAACGTATGTTTAAAATTGAAAACCATCAATTATATATCAGTCTTAAATATGTTTAATACAATTTTTTATAACACCTACATGAGAAAACTAAGATGTGTACATTTTACTTCACAGTTACCGGTATATAATTTTAAATGTCTGAATGGTTACAATTATTTATTGGTGAATTGATTTGAATGTCTTTTGGTAACCTGCTTATTTGAAGGTCAACTTTCAATACCAAACTGGATCATAGTATTTGCTTCTTTTCCCGTAAGCAAGTAACATTAAGAAGTAACAGCAAACACTGGTCTCATATTCTGAAAAAAATATCCAGGTAGTATCACATGTCTTCCTGCTAACAGTTACCTTGTGTCCTAGCACTTTAATCAAATCTGACTCAGATATCTCGTTATAAACATGTCAACCTGAATATGCATGCAATATTTGCCACTGGATGTTAATCAGTAATTTAGTACTTCATCAATTTACTGGTGAGAGATTTACCCAGACATATGATACCTGAAGATAATTATTATTTGATTTTGAATTATTCTTTATTTCAGGTTACACTTGGCAGTGATATGTTCTCTCAGTATTCTGAGCCTTGCTACAACAGTTTATAGTGCTTTCCCGTCAACACAGACCCAGGTTCACATAACCGTGTATGCTCCTAAGAACTTTCTTCAACAGGATATTGAAGTATATTTCAATCAAGATAGACCTGGCGATGTATTAGATCAGCAGTATGCTTTTGTACAGTCCTATGGTAGGTATATAACCCTCTCACATATCCCTGCCATTCAGGAGTGATTGACTCCTTGATTGATTAAAAATAGTGCTTAGTATTGCTTCTGTGCAATAACTTTGGAACATTTCAACCAATCCTTTTCTAATTTTGATTTGTTGTTTCTCAAAACAAAACAGAGGTCAGATTTCATTTTGACAATTTTCACTTATTGTCCTTGATTGATTGAAAATGGTACTTTATATCTTTTCCATGTGTGACTTGAGAACCATTCAACTAAATCTTTTCAGAGGATGAGGTATGCTAAGGCCACTTTTTTGGCCCCTTTAATTTAAAAATCAAGAAGTATTATCAATCAAACAAATAAAATCCTTCAGATGTTCCTAAAACACTATTGTATTGGACATCAGTATTTGTATATTTGAATTTTGCCTTACATATTAATATCATGGCTTCAAACTTCTTACATTTAGCGCAAAACAGTAAAAGCTTCCAAAATAGCCTATTTTTGAGATCTTGTCATTAATATTTAAATACTGTAAGTTCAGAAATTATTGTGTGCATTTATTATTCCAATTTCTGAAGAATGGGCAAAAATGCGAGATTATTGCGATTTCAGGAAAATCTATACAGATATATGTATCAGATATTTAATAGAATGCGAGTTCTTATTATTGCGATAATCACCAAGTCGCGTTATTCGCATTGATAAAAACCTCACAATAATATCTGAATTTATTGTATGAGCAACTCATTTTACCATAAAGATATTTTGCTACTAAATGTATTATTTAAAGATTTTAATGTGTGCAAAATATGTTTTCGGGTCACATTGTTGTTCAAATCTATTTTGAATAAAACCCATGTGTAAAATGGTCAAATATGTAAATTTAGACATGTTTATGACGTAAAAGAGAAATCACAAGTGACAATTCTGCACTCAAAGTGTACAGATTATATTAACCTGTCCATTTATCGATAAAATTAACATAATTTTGAAAAGATCCAATAAGTTTACAATTTTTGCAATTTCAGGGACCAAATAATGGCTCTTATCATACTTCCATCTTTTCACATGTTATTTTTTGTGACAAAATTGAGATCAAGTTGGATTTGAGAATTTTCTATTTGCAGTTCAGGATTTAGGATTGATTCATTGCAAAATGTTGCTTTTATAATGTCTTGTTTGAGGGATACTGTGAAAATGCTTTAACTTATCTTTATTAAAATTCAATATGCCATTTCTCATGAATTACAGTTATACCCCTGTGCAGTTTTCTTGAATAACCAAAACGTGTTACTACCAGCAAAGTTTTAGCTTGAATCCAGTAAAATAGTGTGTGAACTAAAGTTTTATATGTCTTTGTTTGGTAGCAATAGATCATAGAATGGAATTAAGTAAAGCAGCAGTCAATTATAGCAAGTCTGGTTAGGTTATAACAAAAAAACATGAGAAATTCAAATATCATAAGTTATACCTAATCCAATCAAAATTGATCACATTTGATGTTACTAATCATGTTAAGTCATTTTTTAACTTAAACATTTAGTTTGTGTCAAATAACAGCCGTCAAACTGTTGAAAAAGGTATTTCAGCCTTTTTTTTGAAATAAAATTTAACATGCATACAGTTCAGACTAAACCTGAAGGTGCTTTATATTTTATATAAAGATTCTTTGTATTTTATCTAAAGTTATCCATGAGTTCTGTTGCTTATTTTCTTTCAGATATGGTTGATCCTTATTTGTTGAAGTTAAATTCTACTCTTTGTGATGCAACTCAGTGTAAGCATGGCTGTGATGAAAATAATGGCCGCTGTATTTGTAAGAAAGGATATAGACTGGATAGTGCTGGAGTTTGTCAAGGTAAATATTGTGTATGACTGTTAAGAAAATAATGGCCGCTATGTTTGTCAGAAAGGATATAGACTAGATAGTGGTGGGGTTTGTCAAGGTAAATATTGTGTTCACTCTCAATGTGTGTTTGACTTTGAAGAAAATAATGGCCGCTGTGTTTGTAGGAAAGCATATAGACTAGATAGTGGTAGGGTTTGTCAAGGTAAATACACTCTTGATGTGTGTTTGACTGTTAAGAAAGATACACTGAAGTTATGTTTGATAATAGGAATATAGACATGATAGTAAGTGCATTTGTATTTGTATTGTGATGAGGTTAGTGGACTGTATACAACTTGGAGTTCAATTTATATTTATTTTAAAAATGAACATCCTGCACCCATTTAAAATGTCAGTGACTATTTTTGTGATGTTTTCAGATGTAAATGAATGTAGATCTGTTCACCACAGATGTCATGAGAATGCTGACTGTATGGATAAGGAGGGGACCTACCAATGTCACTGTACAGGCAGATATTACGGAGATGGCACAACTTGTTATGGTAGGTAACTGATTCTTCCATCAGCTTTATTGATAATTTGATGTTGATAAGGAGGGTACCTACCAATGTCACTGTACTTAGGATGATTTTTTGAAGTTCACCTGTCCAGTTTGAATGATTTATATTTTAAAAGTATCTGAAAGATCTATATTAAGTCTATATAAGTATCTGAATGATCTATATTAAGTATAATTTTATTTACAGAAATTGAGTGAATCATATAATGTCTTGAGAGAAGTCAAATGTTAATAAATCAATGGCAACATTTCACACAATTTCTTAAAGATTTTCTGTCTTTTAGCATGTGATGCCCCATGTAGAGAAGGAACCTATCAAGACTTACCATGCGGGAAAAATCAGAAGAAAATCTGTTTAAGTAAGTTTTCCTACAGGGATTAGGTGGGAGACTGCTTCTATTGTCACTTTGACTTTAACTCTACGTTCCGCTATATAGATGATGTTCTCTCACTAAATAATACAAAATTTGGTGACTATGTTGAACGAATCTATCCCATCAAACTAGAGATAAAGGATACTACAGATACAGTTAAGTCTGCCTCATATCTTGACTTACATCTAGAAATTGACAATGAGGGTTGGTTGAAAACAAAACTTTACGACAAAAGAGATGATTTCAGCTTCCCAATTGTGAACTTTCCATTTCTATGTAGCAATATTCCAGCAGCGCCTGCATACGGAGTATATATCTCCCAATTGATACGATATTCCCGGGCTTGTGTTTCCTATCATGATTTCCTTGATAGAGGATTGCTGCTCACAAGGAAGCTATTAAGCCAAGAGTTCCAAATGGTGAAGTTGAAATCATCCCTTCGTAAATTTTACGGACGCCATCACGAGTTGGTTGACTGTTATGGAATAACAGTTTCACAGATGATATCGGATATGTTCCTTATGTCGTAACTACAATACCCTTCCCTTTTCACGAATGTGACTTACCGAATTAGACTAATTACCGGATTTGTAATAACATAATCAACACGACGGTGCCACATGTGGAGCAGGATCTGCTTACCCTTCCGGAGCACCTGAGATCACCCCCAGTTTTTGGTGGGGTTCATGTTGCTTAGTCTGTAGTTTTCTATGTTGTGTCATCTGTACTATTATTTGTCTGTTTGTCTTTTTATTTTTGGCCATGGCGTTGTCAGTTTGTTTTCGATCTATGAGTTTGACTGTCCCTTTGGTATCTTTAGTCCCTCTTTTGAGGGGAATGGAGATTGGATACAGTGTGTGGTGCAGATTTAAAAAATGCTATTCTACAGTCTATTTATGTCCATCAAATCAATGTTTTGATGTATAATTAAAAACAATCAGTGTTGTTATTCATGACATATTAACTCAACAGAGAGCCCAAAATTAGTCTTGATTAACTATATAACAATCACTTTCTTACAGATTGTTTTTAAGACATTAGTTACTGGTGTGGTACTATGAGACCAAACATATTTGTAAGCAGCAAATGAGATTGCAAAATAGAATATTTTTCTTTTATCAGGTTGTAAAAAGGAATGTCCAAGAGGTACCTACATGTCCAGACAGTGTACATCTCTGGGGAATGCTGAATGTAAAGGTAATCTATTGATAGTACAGAATGAATGAATGAATGAATGAATCTTTATTTCCTCCATGTATATGAAGATATTGCATACAAAGAAACAAGTGATTATTTACACAATAAACAAAATATCATATATTTTGAGATAAATACACAACATACATAAACAAAGAACAAAAAAGTTTATCAATCAAGGTCTATTTAAAACTCAAAATTAAACCTGTTTTCAAATAATACGTCTGAATTTTTTATACATGGGGTAAACATGTTTGATATAACTGTTCAATCTATCTAAAATAATCACTACCAATTAATTTTTGATAAAAGTGCTGTCAGATTCCGCCTGAAAATCAATTCTTAAAACTTTACTTTAACTGAATATAGAAGCAGATGGTTACTGGTTAAAGTCCTATACAAACTTACAAACTGTGTAATGTATTCAAATCAATTTTCATGTGTTCTCAGAAAAGTTTAAGCATTATTCTGTGAAAAATATTTTCTAAAAGTTTTTATATCAAATTGTTTGCCTTAGATAAACATTACAAAGGATACAAAATATGTATTTCCAGATTGTACTAAGAAATGTACAGCAGCAGATTACGAATTCAAAAGATGTACTTATGTAGAAGATAGAGAATGTAGAGGTAGGTAGTTACCTATCACCCCTCAGACTAAAGTCCTTTAACCATTATGTTACATTAATAAATGGATAAATAAGAGTAGCAGATAGAAAAATTTATTGTATGTAATTACCTATCATCCCTCAGACTAAAGTCCTTTTACCATGATGATAATCATTACATTAATAAATGATTGTACCAGTGTAGCAGATTGAAAATGGTACTGTAGGTTATTACCTTTTACAGACTAAATTCTTTTAAAGACTTTTTATTTAGAAAAAAATAACATTCTAAATCATTTTATTGGGGTAAATATTGCATGAAATGCAAGCAAACCAATATTGTCACTGGATTGAAAACTATATTTTCCTGGCCTCATCTCTACCTCTGGGAGTGCAAACAACATAGTAAAGTGGACTGAGCTTTCCTTAGATCATATCCATGTAACTAGCAATAACTAATGATACATAGGATATATACTCAGATATTCAAATTTAAAAATGATGTATTTGTGTATTACCAACTTATAAAGAAAACTTTTTTATTGAAAATTACAGAAGTTGTACATGGTGTATGAATCTATCTGTTCTAAAAATAGACAACTACAATTATGGACCAACAAAAAGATAACACTTAATATTTCCCTCCAATGCTTAATACAATGCAATGTTAAGATTCAAGTTCACATTGCAAAATAAAGCAACCTTTACCCTCAGTGCTAACAAGCACTTTGATTATTAGAAGTTACAAGATGACGGATAATGGTAGGATATTTAGTTAAATATGATCTTTCTTCTTTGAGGTATGTAATGTTAATCCTACAAAAACAAAATCTTATTAAACTACTGAAATACTCCTTCACAAGAATCTTGAGGAAGAGCAATAATCATAACTTTACAGAGTAATTTCAAAACTGTAAAAAGGTGGTTTCTTCTACGAAATGTATTTATTGGTTACATAGAATACACTCACAACTAGGATGTATTCCATCAAATATGTAGTGACACACTAAACCTATATATGCATTTTTTTTTCATTAGAAAGAAGAGATTTAAGATTTCCATCAGTGAGCAGTAATATCATTGCAGAAAACATGAAGGATGTTAGTTTAGTTAATTCTGAGGAATTGAGTAGAACTAGAGGATTCCATATTGACAGAGGTAAGTCTGCCTGAGCAAGAGGGACGATAGTCTCATGATATAGAGGAATTAAGTAGAAGTGGAGCATTTCATATAGACAGAGGTAAGTCTGCCCGAGCAAGAGGGATGATAGTCTCATGATATAGAGGAATTAAGTGGAACTAGAGGATTTCTTATAGACAGAGGTAAGTCTGCCTGAGCAAGAGGGATGATATTCTCATGATATAGAGGAATTAAGTGGAACTAGAGGATTTTATATTGACAGATGTCAGAGGTTTGATAATCCCAAAATGTGGAGGAATGTAGTAGGAAAGTTGATTTCATATTGACAGAGCTAAGTCTACCTGAGCTGGAGGGATGATAGTCCCAAAATATATTATATGGTGTTTTCACATAAAAACAAAATAGTCAAAATATTTAAACATGGCAATGATTTTAAATGAACAATAACACATATTTATGATAAATAAAACAAGTGTTTATAATTTGGTAAAATTCATCAGTACCTGTGATATGGTATTACCTTGCCTACTTGGAATTTTAGTTTGAAACAAAGAATGCTCTATTTCAGGTTCAGGATTTTTTATCAAGGGAACTGTGACCTACTTTAAACCACATATTCTCCTGCAGCCAGTAGATCATAGTGTAAATAATGAACTAGATAGATTCAATGGCAGTCCTGAACTGGTAGATAAATACTGTCCTTATCCTGTTCCATCATACTACGAACTGGGCAAATTTGATTTACAGGTAAGTTGTTACAACATACCTCTCCAGTAATAGTCAATATAATGATTTATATAGATTCTGTTGTAGCCCAGAACTTCTAGGCACATACTGTCTTTATCTTATTTCATCATCCTGTGAACTGGGCAAATTTGATTTTCAGGAAAGAAAAGTTTGTGAAAAAGAATCTTTAATATTATGCTTGTTAATGATAAATTTGTATAACCCCTGCAGAGGACAGAGTTGCTGTGTGTTCGTACAGTGGTAATAAAGAAATAATTCTTTCATTCCATGCTCTATGCTCATTTTGATCTTGGGCGATGTTCAAAATTCAATTTATGTTGTTAATTTTATAGAAATGGTAGTAAGTAAGTAATGGGACTTTGACTGTATTTGTTTAGTATTGTAATAGTGTCACCTTGTGAACGCAATTAATCTTAAGATTATTTGACAGAAAGCTATCATAAAGGGTAGAATTATTTGCTATCATGTGTAGTTGACCATATTATGCCATCATTTAAGAATTGAATGCTTCTTTTTGTAACTTCATTGGGGTGTAAAAGCGTTGACCGAAGTACATTTTGTATGAAGTACGGAAGCGCTTCATTCTAAAAATGTGCGCACGGTTAACGCTTTTACAACCCTATGAAGTTACAAAAAGAAGCATTCAATACTTATAATTACATTTTTTAGCTAGGATCATGAAAACACGATTTTTATCAAGTTTTTATTTGATTTACCTGTGCACTTTATTGTGGGACCTCGTGTCATCATGAATGATAAATTTCATTGTGTAATGAAGTTGATTAAGGAATAACGCGAGATTGCGGTTAGCCAATCAGAATAATGTATTATAATGAAACATACATCTGATGTAATTATTTTGAATTGACCATTTTTATGTGTGTTAAATTTTCACAGAATCTGCAAAATATAATAGCATTGTGCATTTGTGCATTGAGAATATAGATTGGTACTGACAAATAATAGATAAACTTTTTTGAGCTCTGTTTTTATTTTTAAACTATATTTATTTAAATTAATTTTGTAGAATATTACATACAACAATAAGATGTATGGAGGTAAAACATTTATAGAGCCATGTGAAACATATATGAGACACGGAAACTTTCCTGATATGCAGCATGCATCCAGATTTATCTACTGTTCCCAGCCTGGACCTGTAACTAATATATTTGAACTGAGATCAGGATTTGGTAGCAGTACACCTTTCTGGATAGAAAAAGAGGAAAAGTGAGTATCAAAGTAATATTCAGTAAGAAAGAAATTAATATGTAATTTTTTTTTTTTTGTCTTTTTCCATTTCTATTATTGCTTTGCTGAAAATTATTTTAAGAATAGAATTACAAAACCATAACATTAAATGAAAAAATTGTCCAAAAAATTCATCAAACACTATACAACCAATGAAACTAGAAAAAAGGACAGACTATTGTGCATTTAATTACACATATAGTTAAATATGCTTCTCCCATTGGTGAGATTTTTTTTTACACTCAGCCTGGTGTTTGATAATAATTTAAATCACATTTTGTTAAATATTCGGTCTGAAGTTGAAGATCTTAAATTTAGATAACTTGAGTGGAGAAATTTTCTAACACAATCTCAATAGAATATGTTTCTATATTTATGCTGCTTGTAGCTACATGTGGGTCTCCTGTTATATTGTCCAATGGCAGTTAATTTGTAAATACCTTTAATCTTGAAATTGCCAGTTATCTTATTAACTGATATTGTTCTATTTTAGTTGTGTATCTAAGAATGCTGCTTGTCTAAACTGTACCAAGACATGTGCAAAAAAGATGAGGTTACAAGGGGGAGATTGTGGTGTAACAGACAAGGATAATGGGAGATCCCCTCGTTTGCCTCTTTGTATGTCATGTTGTGCTGATTCTAATTGTACAAACCTCTGTGGGACTTACCATGACTACCATTGTCAAACAGAACAGTGAGTTATCCCCCTTTAACAGTAATATGTTCCTAGTATTACCTCTCTGTGTTATTTTGTTCTGTCATTTCAGACCTCTGTGAAACCTAAAAATCCATTACATTAAAAGTCAGTAATAAAATATTCAATGAATCCACAAAAAATTGGTACCTAAGCATTTATTCTCCACTCCTAACTCCCTCAGGCAAAAATTACCTAAGATGGATTTGGCTATTATTTTTAAGTCGTTTTTGGTCATAAAGCTCTTCAACTGTTTCAGTTTTTATACATCTTTGGCTTTCAAATATATGACTTTGAGCGTTCCTGATGATGGTTAATCCAGAAAATTGCCCTGGATGCATGAAATTTATGTTTTATTATTCATACTTTGTCATCAAATATGAGATATAGTATTATCTCTTTTGAAAGTTCAATGAATTATAAGTGTAACATAAAGTGTAGTGAGTAATTTTTATTTATGTTTATATATAAACTATTTCGGGTTTTATCCTTCCATGCTTACAACTTTTATCATTAATATTTCAATGAATACTTGAAATGATAGGGGATAATGTATTAAACTTCAAAATAAATTCTTAATAAATCAATGCCCATGTATACCATTACTCTGTGGAAACTTGTAAAATTTCATTGGAACAAGTAACTGTCCTTACTTGGTACAAACACTTTTGAATGAACCAGGTTTTACAGCATACCAAACCTCTCTTTTTAATGGCAGTTACATGAATTACAATAAATAGGTGTATAATTTATTTTCAAGGATGATTACTTATGTTATATTTATTTATTATTTTGTAGATGTTTAGTAGGTGATCTTCTTGGATTCCAACTCAGACCTATTTATGATAATGCAAACAATGTGTATTGTCACATGGCCCCTGTAACCAATCAGACAGTAATGGAGTTGGTCTATAATGTCATTAACTACTATGAGACTCTTGTGTCAGAGACTTTGATTGTGAAAAGTGATGGAAGTTGGATTACAACTGGAAAAATGCATTATGGGTATGTACATAAACTTAGGATAAATGATTTATGGCTTTAATATTTTAATTACATTAATAAATTAGATGGATGAAGCTCTATAATTTTCATGGTACCTTTGAAAAACAATAATGTAAATATATTGATCGACATGTTTCGGTGCCTAGGGCACCGTCATCAGGATACAAATAATACATTGAACATACTTAAGTGTACAATCGGGTTGTCTTGTGACAACGTCATAGTATAGTAGTTGTTATGAAAGGGAAGTAATAGTGAAAGTATAAATAGAAAATGTATATAAATAGATTGTCAACATGAAAATGAAAGTAAATTAAAATCTCAAATGGTCACAATAAACACGACGTCACCATAACAGGCATAACAACCACAGAACAAAACATAAACGTCAGACTAAGAACGGAAGAAGCTCTTATACATAAATTTGGAAGCACCGAACCCTGGGGCCTTAACAGACGATATGGCTAATACGAAGATTACCAAAAGAAAAGAAACTACAGGAACTTTCACAAGACGATTTAATTGCAAAAAATGCCCGAAAACTTTCTGCAGTATTTCTACTTTACGAAGACACCATAAGGAACGCCACGAACCAGTCGCAACAATGTTTGAATGCAAACATTGTGTTGCAACCTTCACTAGAAAATCAAATGCCGTAACACACCTTAAATCAAAACACCCAGATAAAGCCAGAGAAGATTATAATAGCTTCCAACAAAATCCTCGTGAAATGGCCAAAGCAATAGAAAAATGGAGACCACCATTTGAAGCCGTACAGAAAAAAGAATGGAACGGGAAAACACCTACATTCAGGACAATACCAGCTAAATCACCGTATGAGTATCACCAATCATCCACCTCAAAACCGAAAAAACCCTCAACAAGTGATTTGGAACAAGACCTGTACCTGTCGGATTCCGACTCTTCTTTAAATAACACTCCGCAATACATAACAAACGATTACGGTTATGTCATGGACCTTACTCAGGAAGACTACATAGACCTGACAACAAGCAGCAGTGATGAAACCATATGTTTAGATGAGCTACCGGAAGAACTATGGGACAGACATGTGTTTGTACATTCTATTTATAACATTTTTAGCTGAGACAATAATAACACAGAGTTGATATACAAACAATTTTAATTTACTTTCATTTTCATGTTGACAATCTATTTATATACATTTTCTATTTATACTTTCACTATTACTTCCCTTTCATAACAACTACTATACTATGACGTTGTCACAAGACAACCCGATTGTACACTTAAGTATGTTCAATGTATTATTTGTATCCTGATGACGGTGCCCTAGGCACCGAAACATGTCGATCAATAAATTTTCTGCAGCAGTCCCTCCAGTGTTGTTGTTATAAGACTTTCTACATTATTGTGTTTCATCATAACGACCCTGCATACCCGAGGTATCCACTTCAGGGACTCTAACTCACTACAGACTCACCAGGCGTTGGTTCACTTTCGTTTGTAATTGTTTATTGTTTTATCGTGAACCCCTTGCATTCCTTTTGGAACCGCCGTTGCCAGCAGCGCTGACCTTCCCAGCCACCCGCAGCTATGCCTTTGAACGAAGGAAATAACGAAGATTTTGTTGAGGCACCATTGGAGCCTTCCAGAAGTGCCAGTACCATCCAGGCAAACAAAAGAAAAAGGATCGAACAAGAAGCCTTTCAAACAGGAATAAACCCGACCAGAATTCAAGAAAAGAATGTTTCACTTTTTAGAACTTACCGTAAATTAAATGTTAAATTGGTCCGTTGTGAACAGCATAAGGCTTACTTAACCCGATGTGAAAAAGGGATATGGTACCCAAGACACTTAAATCAAATATACAACCCCAAGTACCCGATACAACTCCCGAATTCCTTTTCGAATGGGAAGACGCACAACTAGAATTTGGCAGAACATTAGTGAAACTTTTAATTAAATATTGGAACAACCGATGCGAAATAATTTCATCTCAAATTGCAACTATGGAAATTAGATTAAAAGACAAAACAACTGACACTGAAATGGAACACATAACAAGTTTAATACAGAAAACAAAGCTATCCGTCGAAGACGAAATTAGCAAACGACCCGCGAATCCAGCTAAGCAACAATAAATCACCCAACCCCCGAAAATGCCGAGAACCAGAAAATTCATTAAACACAACATTTATAAAAAAATTAAGAATAAACCACAAAAGGATACATGTGCCGTAATAAATTTGAGCAAAAAACAATTAACATATGCCCAACACTCAGTGCTACAAAAAGGATTAAGTTTCTGTCCAACACCAGGCCCACTAAATGAGTTAGAACTTTTCAGAGATACACTAATTTTTAATAGAAGAATACGCCTGAAACACCATTTTCAAAAAAAGAACGATACCAGTGAAAGCACATATACTCCCAACCCGTTTAAATTACCTACAGGATGGACACCACCAGCGGGAAGAAATAAAGATTTGGATACATTTTTAAACCTTACTTCTGATGATATCTCACAAATTCCGAAAACAGGATTTATAAGAAAAAACCTCAACCGAAATCAATTTAGAGCCTTAAATGAATTAAAAAATGATCAGACCATTACACTTAAACCAGCAGACAAAGGAGGAGCAATCGTTATTATGGATACCATAGATTACATGCGAGAAGCAGACCGTCAACTTTCTAACACTACTTTTTACGAGGAAGTAAATAAAGATCTCAACCCCAAAATCGCCAAAGAAATAAAAGAATTCATTCTCGATATAAAACACAAACTACCCGAAACTCTACACGAATTCTTATTACAAAAACACTGGCGAACGCCACTATTTTACCTTCTCCCAAAAATTCACAAAACAGGAAATCCAGGTAGACCAATTATTTCACAAATAAACTCCCCTACTGCAAATATGTCAAAAGTTGTGGACCATTATCTAAAACCTTTCATCAAAGATATACCGTCGTATATTAAAGATACCACACATTTTCTACAAAAAATCGAATCGCTAGGCGATATACCACCCAACAGCCTTCTAGTAACGGCAGATGTAAGCTCACTGTATACAACCATTCCACACAGAGAAGGAATACTAGCAGCAAAAGAAATACTGAACAACAGACAAGAAAATTCACCAGCAACTTGGATACTTCTTAGATTTATGCACTTTATCTTAACCAAAAATTGTTTTAAATTCGGCAATAAATACTACATGCAAATTATGGGAACAAGCATGGGAACAATTATGGCTCCGGAATACGCCATTATATTTATGGACAAATTAGAGAGAGAATTCCTAAAAACACAAGTACTTAAACCATTAGTATGGTGGAGATATATAGACGACATATTTTTCATATGGCCACATACACGCAAGGATCTAGATTCCTTCATCAGTGCCCTCAACCAATTCCATCCTAGTATAAAATTCACAAGCCACATAAGTACAGAAAAGGTCGATTTCCTAGATACAACGGTAGTTAATAACCAAGGAAAACTCCACACAACTCTATACACAAAACCAACAGATGCGCACCTCTTCTTACATTACAACTCATGCCACCCGAAACACCAAAAAGAAAGTATTCCATTCAGTCAAGCACTGAGAATAAGACGAATTTGTACAGAAATCAATGATTTCGAATTTCACACAAACCGTCTGAAAGAACATCTCCTGACTCGGGGTTATCCCCGACAGGTTGTCGATTCTGCAATTTCAAAAGCAAAGTCGTTAAATCGAAATGATTTGTTAAAACCAAAGGAAACTGACCAACCCGTGAAGCCAGATATGATTCCATTAGTAATCAACTACCATCCAAAAATAAAAAATCTTAACGGAACCATCAACCAGAGGAAAGATATCCTCAAAAGAACTCCTGAAACTCAAACCCTCGCGAAACAAAAACTCATTGTTTCATATAGACGAGCCTTATCAATCAAACAAATACTAGTAAAAACCGAAATTGTACGCAAACAAACCCGTAAGGGTAGCCACCCTTGCGGAAAGAATTGCTATCTCTGTAGATTAATGAAAACCGCAGAAAGTGCAAAAAGTACCGTAAACAGTTACCAAATAGATATTAAACACGAAATTACATGCAACACAGAAAGTGTGGTGTATTTAATAGAATGCAAACAATGCAAAAAACAATACATTGGTCAAACGGGAAATAGCCTAAAAGAAAGATTCAGGGGACATCTACAGGACATCAACACTGAGAATAATACAAAACCAGTCTCGAAACACTTCACCTCAAATGGTCACAATAAACACGACGTCACCATAACAGGCATAACAACCACAGAACAAAACATAAACGTCAGACTAAGAACGGAAGAAGCTCTTATACATAAATTTGGAAGCACCGAACCCTGGGGCCTTAACAGACGATATGGCTAATACGAAGATTACCAAAAGAAAAGAAACTACAGGAACTTTCACAAGACGATTTAATTGCAAAAAATGCCCGAAAACTTTCTGCAGTATTTCTACTTTACGAAGACACCATAAGGAACGCCACGAACCAGTCGCAACAATGTTTGAATGCAAACATTGTGTTGCAACCTTCACTAGAAAATCAAATGCCGTAACACACCTTAAATCAAAACACCCAGATAAAGCCAGAGAAGATTATAATAGCTTCCAACAAAATCCTCGTGAAATGGCCAAAGCAATAGAAAAATGGAGACCACCATTTGAAGCCGTACAGAAAAAAGAATGGAACGGGAAAACACCTACATTCAGGACAATACCAGCTAAATCACCGTATGAGTATCACCAATCATCCACCTCAAAACCGAAAAAACCCTCAACAAGTGATTTGGAACAAGACCTGTACCTGTCGGATTCCGACTCTTCTTTAAATAACACTCCGCAATACATAACAAACGATTACGGTTATGTCATGGACCTTACTCAGGAAGACTACATAGACCTGACAACAAGCAGCAGTGATGAAACCATATGTTTAGATGAGCTACCGGAAGAACTATGGGACAGACATGTGTTTGTACATTCTATTTATAACATTTTTAGCTGAGACAATAATAACACAGAGTTGATATACAAACAATTTTAATTTACTTTCATTTTCATGTTGACAATCTATTTATATACATTTTCTATTTATACTTTCACTATTACTTCCCTTTCATAACAACTACTATACTATGACGTTGTCACAAGACAACCCGATTGTACACTTAAGTATGTTCAATGTATTATTTGTATCCTGATGACGGTGCCCTAGGCACCGAAACATGTCGATCAATAAATTTTCTGCAGCAGTCCCTCCAGTGTTGTTGTTATAAGACTTTCTACATTATTGTGTTTCATCATAACGACCCTGCATACCCGAGGTATCCACTTCAGGGACTCTAACTCACTACAGACTCACCAGGCGTTGGTTCACTTTCGTTTGTAATAATGTAAATAAAATACAAAACATATTGTAAACCATTAAAATGATACCCACAACATGCATTGAAAAACATACATTTAGAAGTTGAGGAGAGAATGAACAAGTATGCAGCTAGTTCGTGTGTTTGACCATGAAAAATAAACAAAATTTGGTTCTGGTAGCAAGAAAACACCATGTGGTAAAAACTTATGTGTGTATTATTCATTGTAGAGATGAGATTGTTGACATTGATATTGATTCCAAGGTCAGACAAATTCCAGACTTTGTCAAAATGTCAGGTGTAACAAAGCAAGTAGCAGCTGGACGATATAAACAAGGAGATGTCAGTGTGAAAACATTGATCACTCAGACATCTGCTGTAGTTAGACCCAAATCTCCATTTAGCACCACATCAAGTTCATTTGGTAAGTTTGTCATCAAGAAAATATCTTTGGTAACGTAATATTTTTCCATCTCCAACAAAAGGTAATTGGAGCTTGTTTTGGTGTCTGCCAGTTTGTATTCCTACAAGATAAGGGTCCTTGACATAATGTAGTAAGTTGTAATTTTGTTAAAATTTTAGAATGCTCCAAATAATCACCAAAATGTACCATCTCCTTTGCCATTTAATAACTCTTTTGATGAATTCCATAAATTGGAAATATATCTGAGTATCTATAAACAATATACAGCAAAAATGATTGGGAAGAAGTGATATGATTATTTGACCTGTGCTTGATCATTTTATATTTGTATTAAACGCTCTATGACCTAGGTGACTGATTTGTTGGCAAGACTTTGTTTTGCATTCCTTTTCATATTTGTCTGTGTAGAAAGTTGTCTATTGATCAAGGAAGATGGTGGCATATAAATTACTTGAGCTGATCTGTGTGACTTTTCACTGAAGTCAAGGAAAGAGGCACTTGTACTCTGAGGCTTTGTTATGTTTTGTCAGTTAATATCCTGTAAAAAGTTGATTGCTATGAGCACTTACACCCTTAGTTGTATATAAAGTGAGTTGTATGTTATGTTATTTGTAGCCCAGCATTCCTGTGAGGATGAAGTATTAGAAAACCTTATGATGGCCAAGGGAATTGATGAACCATTTGACCAGTATCCAGGATTGGTAGAATTCCTCAATGATAACCATTCCTATGCTGTATCATCAGAGGGGACATCAGACCTACCTAGTATTAGGATTGTAGTAGATAGACACAAATCTCTACTGGAGTCACTGTTTCCTATGGCTAAACTAGTGTTTAATCACCTCCATGGCAACATTACTCAGAATTCAACACACTGGGTCATGAATGTGACTGGAAAAATCAAAGAATGTCCAGGCAGGTTTATATTATAGAGATAATTTATGTAACCATTGCTCTAGAAAAATGTAGGTTTTTTGTTTGGTTTTTGTTTTTTTTTCTTGTTGTTTGGTTTGTTTTGTTATTTTAGTTTAGGAGGGGGGTTGTAAGTTGTAGGCGGTTGAATGAGTACGGTAAATTATTAAAAAGTGTGACTTGTGGTTAATAGATGAAGAAAGGGAATTTTGCAGAAAATCGTTTGATACAATCTTACAAGAGTTTTAAGATAAGACTATCTTCCTTGGATGTGACAAAGTCTTATTTGAAGAAGAAATCAGCTGGAAATAGGAAAGATTTTGAATCTTTTTTGAAAGAATTGTATAAACTGTTTTTACTATATATAGGAGACAAGTTCAAATGTTGCTGTTTTTCATAATAAAGTTATTTTTGATGCATAGTTGAGGAAGATTTATGGAAATAAGCAATTACACAATGCTTAAAAATTCACATGAAAAACCTGACTTATATCTAATTTTCCAATTTATACATTCATAGGTGTTTTAAGTATCAACTTGACAGATCCAGGATACCCTAGTGAACCTCTGTACCAGTTTGTAGCTCAAGTCAGGTGCCCTAAAACTTTTGAACTTTCTTTTGCTGTACCCACTGGGGACAAGAGTTATCTTGACAAGGAATTTGCACTCAGTGTCAAGGACAAAGATACAGTTCATCAGTTGTTTGTTTTTAAACCTGCAGGAAGAAAAAATGTTTACATGTCAGGTATGGCTAGACATTTAGGCACCAAATTTTACTTTTATGGAATTTATTTTTCTTGTATAAGATAGAATTTAGATTTATATATAACTTAATATGCATTATGTGTAGGAAAGAACAACAATTTGTATGCCCAGCTTACGATAGTAGGGCGCATTATGTTTTTCATTTGGAGCATCTGTCTGTCCATTCTTAATGTGGAGGAAATTCACCATAATGTTATGGTAAAATTAACTTTAACTTAGTACTTAAGTTCAATATGAAGTGAACATTTTAAAATATATGCCAAATTAGAATTGTTTCCCAAATTTCATGGTTTACTAAACATGGAAATGTGTTACTGCAAGAGGAGCATGATTTCCAATTGACACATTATTGTTTAAGATACTCTAAAGTAAAAAAGGTTGTAACTTTAAGCAGGTGCAGATTTTGATTTGATTTGAGGTTAATGGGAACAGACCCTAATACATTTTTTTATAAAATTAAGTTTAGCTTTAATTGAGACTTAAAAATTCATAGACCAAAATTTTGTAAAATTAGCAGTAAATCCACCTCTTGTCATGTTAATTATTGATGTTTTCTAGGTTCTACACAAGGACAAGTTACAACAACCAAAGATTCCAAACAACCATCACATTTTTCTATTCCATTCATGGCTACTGTAATTGGCGTGGTTGTCTTGTTACTATTTATAGCAGCCTTTGGAATGATGGTTAAATTTGGTAAGTTTCAACATTTATTTTGTATATTCAATCCTTACAGTTTGAAGTTTCTGAAAAACTAATATTCTCTTTAAGCAACATTTTTATATTTTTTATTAAAACAACATTTCAGAATTATCATGAAAATAGAAAACTGTTGAGTCTCAAATATCACAAATTTATCAATACCATCTTCATATGCCAGATTTACAGTGGGAATAAAGGAAATGTGGGGTGAATGTCAATGAGACAGCAACAAAATGACATTAAGAGGTCAACATGCAGTCTGTAACAATAGACTGTCAATATAATATGTCAAGCTTTAAATTATCCAGATTACAGTAGTTCATTAGAATAGCAGCACTAATATAAAAAATATATAAATATTTGTGCAGTCTGACATTTTTTTTCAGGCCAACCTACAAGTGATGTATTAGAATTCAAGTGGTGCCACCTAGTGTTAATGGTAGGATATATTTCCTTCCATTTCCTATTTGCTGTGTGTGCCTCCATGACAGTATTTGTTTTGGTCATTGTTGCAGTTAATAGGTAAGTGGTGCCACCTAGTGTTAATGGTAGGATATTATTACTTACACAGTGTGCTGTGTGACGAATTTATCTTACTGACTATCTTAACGTGGTATTTAGACTAGTGGCCTATCAAAGTGATCAAGTCTTAAATATAAAGAACCTATTTCCATTGGTCTATACAAAAACAAATGCCAACAATAACAACTTGTAATGTGTTTATTTGAATGGTTCATCATCAATTACTTCATCTGTTGTCCAGGTGAAACGTTTTAGATTTTCCTCAACGCCGTGTTGTTTTATAAAAGGTATAACACCACTACTAACCATGTATTAAAATAAACCATGCCTTCTATATATTAAATATTAAGTATACAAGGTCTACACACAGTCGCTTTTAACCAATGATATTAGATAAATTAGATAAATTTCCTTCCATTTTCTTTTTACTGTGTGTGCCTCCATGACAGTATTTGTTCTGTTCATTGTGGCAGTTATAAATCACACCCCTATCAACCTGAGACACCAATATAATCACAAGAGCTCTGCTTGAGGGATTATATTGGTTGGGGGTGGATATGGTGTGTGATATTGAAAAGCCATATGGTATTCTCTATACGACAAAAAAGAATTTTAACAAGAATATATGCAAACACTTATTGTAGCAGCACGATTCCCCATTATTGTATTAATATGGATTCATTTATTTTCGTTAGTACCAATTTTCGTGTGTGATTCACAAAAACTTGCATTTTTGTGGACATATGATTTTGTGGTTTTATAAAAGTTTGCATACAAGCTTGAAGAAAATGTTTAATTCGTTGAACATTTAAATTGTTGGTTCACCTCTTCCGGGAAATCGTCAAAAATGGGTACCCAACCAATAATAGTAAACCCACGGTACACATTACAATTTACTTGTTTTTACTACTAGGTATATAATAAAGTAAATTATAATATATTAAATTAAACAAATTTTGCTGTTACCTATAAGCCTGTTTCACTTGTTTTCAATTTTAACGATTTTTAGAATGGCAACATCAATTATATGATGTTTTCCTTTCATGTTACAGTGATACAACAGCTTTCCTGAAAAATTACCAACAACAGAGATCAGTCAAGTCAGCCTTTACACATTTAGAACTAGATCATATGGAGCGCCATCTTCTGGCTGAAATCCACCGTCAGAATTCTGTAGCTAATACCAGTAAACAGCTGTGTGACCAGCAGATGCTTATTATTATTGAGAATCTAAATGATGTATGTAGGTCTTGTGTTTAACCAGGGAAAATTCCGCTCATAAAGTAAATCAAATAAAGGAAATGTTTGTTTAGTAAACACTTCTAGATTGATTGATTGTTGCTTGCTTAATGCCCAATGGCCATTTATACAAATCTAGAAGTATGACTGTTAGTCAATAGAAATTCACATCATAAACTAGTCACTTTATTATTGGGTTAAAATAATTTGCAACTTACATCTGCTATTATGTGGAATAATGATAGTCAGAGCTTTATTTGGTCAGTATAAAAATTTAAAGCACTGTTTCGTTGTTTCGTTGAGCTCTAGCTTCCTTTTTATTTTAACCATTTTCTGATTTTTTCCTTCCAGAGTTTTGATATTTTATCTTTGAAATTTGACATATCTGAATGGTCTCATGATAAACTCAAGTTTGCTGTAACAATTTAGTCTATATGATATTGTTATACAATGTTTGGTTCCATATCATGAAGACAAGCTTCTTTCTGATTTAGCGAGTTTTTACAATTCCAGAGTTAAAAGTAACAGGACTTGGCACTCACACCACATCTTCTTATTTCTATTGATTTTCAATAATAAAGTGGTTACTTTTTTCCTTTCTTGAAAGTTGATTGTTTTAGTCCTTGACATTTTTCAATAAACAACTTATGTTTTTACTGCAGTTGATGCTTATAATATCTTGCTTGTTTAAACATCTGCACTGGGTTGCATAAATATCAATTAACAGTAAATGTCAATTTTAAGTGTTAATTAAATCATTAACAAATACAACAGATTTAATTCTAATTCAGATATGTGCAACTCAGTCTTGGTTTGCATGTCTATCTATCAATTTCCAATCAATTAGCAGTTGTATATCTATCTCGAAAACTAAGCATTTAGCAATTTATTAATAATTCAAAAGACACTAAATGGATTCTTGAACTTTTCACCATAGATGATATGATTTTCTTTCAGTTGAGGAAGGAGATTGAAAGAAACACTACAGAAGATATTGGCAAAAAGGACATTAACAATTTATTGAGCAATCAGATGAAAACACTGGCACAAAAGTTCACTACTAATATAGATATTTTTAGGTATGTTTATAGTTTCACTAAGATATATAAAAAATGTTCACACTGATCACTGATCTCTCACACCTTGTAAAAGCTTTAACATTGCATACCTTTAAAGTCACATGATTTCATTATTTGAATTCAGCCAATGACCCAATATAGTTTTGTCACACCAACCCATGATCTTATCAAATTTTTTATGGTGTTTTGGTTGGTATTCAGTCCATGACGTAATAAAATCCTGACAATATCAAAACAATCTAATTTCATTTCAGAGAGAGATTTGAAAGTTATATAAAGTTTATGAGACAGAAATTTACCTCCGAGTTACAACAGACTTACAGAAGTATGGAACAGAATAAATGGTTAACTACTGCACAGTTCTTACGTAGATCTGTTAAAAATGTCAGGGATCTGGAAAATTTACCGACCAGACCATTCTTACAGTGGTTAGGAATACCTGAAGATTTAACTCAGTTGTCGTTAGGTGAGTAAAACCTGAAAAAAATCTACCTTCCTGACATTCTAACATAGGTTAAGAATTCCTTAAGATTTAACTTAGTGTTTTTCTTCAGGTGAGTAAAACCTGAAAAGTCTCTCAATCAGACCATTCTAACATAGGTTAGGAATACATGAACATTTAAATCAGTTGTCTTTAGGTGCTGCTTTAGAAATTGGAAGTATAATTATGATATGTTTTCATTACAGAAAACGTAAATCAAATGTTTTTATTCCAGATAAACCAATTCCAGTTCCAGTATTACCAAAGTTTGATGATGTGTTCATCCCTGGAACAAAAGGAAATCCAAATCCAGCAACCAACAAACGTTCAGAAAGAACTCACCAGTATCATAACTTCTGGATCCAGCCAGAGATGTTACATAGCAACCATTCTCAAGGACACAATGACCCTTACAGAGAGGAAGAGACCAGTAGTTACAGTGGATATATGGTATTCTTTGCCCTGATGATTGTCATAGATGTTGTTTGGTTTCTACATCGCATGTTAAAAGCTGTGGGAGTTTGTAATTTGATATTATATGGATATCCTATTTATGTGGACATCAGAGACAAAACAGGTAATCATTTAAAAGATTTAAATGGTCGGTGTAAGTGTTAGAGATTGTAGTTTGATATTATATGGATATCCTATTTATGTGGACATCAGAGACAAAACAGGTAATCATTTAAAAGATTTAATTGGTCAGTGTAAGTGTTAGAGATTGTAGTTTGATATTATATGGATATCCTATTTATGTGGACATCAGAGACAAAACAGGTAATCATTTAAAAGATTTAATTGGTCAGTGTAAGTGTTAGAGATTGTAGTTTGATATTATATGGATATCCTATTTATGTGGACATCAGAGACAAAACAGGTAATCATTAATATGTTCACATAAAGAAGGAGATGTGGTATGATTGCCAATGAGACAAATATCCACCAAAGTTCAAATGAAATGGATGTAAGCAATTATAGGCAACAGTACTGCCTTCAACAATGAGAAAAACATGGTTATCTAACCTGTTAGATTCGATTGGTCTGTGCAGTTCATTATGTGGTTAGGTGTGAATATTATAAGCAAAAAAGGAAGAAAAGGGAGGGAGATGTAAAAAATATACTGACATATATATATTGGACTGTCTGTTGTCTATTTCCATAAATACACAAGTAAAAAGGAAAGGTCTGAAAGGTTATGCTACAGTTGGTTGTGAACACCTTTGTAGGTATTTTATCTATTTATCGATACCTCAGTGCATTGATCAACTTGGGGTTGTTTTTGTCTTTGTTGTTATGGTACATGTATATTGTGTCTATCAGGGATGATTTCTACTATAAAAAGGGGGTGGGTTTGAGTAGTTCACTGGGATGTTAATGCTGTAATCTGATTTTATATTTTTTATGTGGAATAGGTGAAATAAAGGGGTTAATTGAGAAGTATTATGATGCAGATCTGTGCTTTAAATTTAGCTTTAACAATTTTGATTCTGACTATTGTCATCAGTAAGACATTTTTTATAAAAATTATATTCTAGTATATTTAGGTGTTAATGTATTATATTGTTGTAGATCCAACACAAGAAGTAGATGATGAAGCTGCTAAACGACAAAAAAGATTGTTTAAGTCAGGATTCTGTAAAACATTGAGGGATTTAATGCTAAAGGTAAAGTATGGTCTAATCTGATTATCCAAAACTTAAACCAAATTCATGTATAAAACAGCTACACCTTTCAAAAGTTTAAGGGGAGTGGGGTGATATGTTGGTAAGTAGCCCTCAGTTTTCTTTAATTATAAACATTTTAGGGTAGTTTTGGCTAAACAAAAAAATGAGAAATTAAGGACACAGATATTTGTCAGACAGATACATAAAAGTAAGGGATTGATGATTAATGTTTGTCATACATTATCTCCCTTTGTAACAGTATTCTTTATGAGATTGATTTTTACAAGAAGAAAGTTAATCCATATCTTACAGCAGTATGTAATAGTAATAACCTTAAACTTAAAAGAAATTATAGATGGAATGTTTTATATTTCAGTCATTGGTCAGCATGTTTGTCCCGAAGGTGATAGCTACAGTGTTTGTTTGTTTGTTTGTTTATGTATTGTCAATGGCAACATTCCATTTTGTCAACAGAGAAACATTTAGTTATCTAGGATACTACAATAATATGGTAAGTATGAATACTTTTATTCTAATCTACATTCTTTTTTTTTAAAAGGAGATACAAATGCATCTTCCCTGAAGGTTCAAATTATAATGAAATGAACAAGAATTATAAAGTAAACAATGAACATAACAATACAAAAGATCTACATATATCAGGATCATTTATAACATATATTATTATGTTTAAGGTTTATGACCCCTTCTGTAGCTATGTGTATTAAGAAATTTTCAAAGTGCCGTTATATCAAAACAGCAAAGATAATGAATAATAAAGATGTGATATTTTGTACATATACCAAAGGGAAATTTCGTTCAAAGCAATATTATTTATTGTTTTATTGCATTTAATAGAAAATGGGGATTTTGTGGCAAATAAAGGCAAGACGTTTGCACAAAATCCGCAGACTTTAGTACAAAGATTTTCGTTATGAAATTTTAAACATAGATTACTCACTTATTTGTCCATGATGTGCTAGCGTTTATTGTTTACAAAAAGTCTTGAACAACCCTCACATTCCAAAAAACTTTGTGCTGTGAGTCTCTTAAGTCAAGTGCACCCTAGGAGGTGTTCTTGAATTGGTCCATATTTATATTTGTTTTAACCAATTCTTAATTTATGAACTTGTTTTAAGGAAATCATTGTTAGCACTGCATGCAATAATCCTCTATCTATCAAGCACCGAATTGTTAAATATTAGAGTACAAGGGGAAAGGCTGTGGATTTTCTATAAAATGTCCATATGTTTAGCATTGAAACAACAAAAGGGTACATAATCCTTAAATTGAAATTTTGTTTTGTTACCACAAAAGTCATTGAAGACATCCAACTGATTTAATAGTTTATATTATAGTGTTGTTAACTGCTGTTTCTGTATTGACCCTAGCTATAATTCTAGCTAGGTTAGCTGTAATGACCCCCAAGACCTAAAGTTTCCATGCAGGGATGAATATATTTTGTAATATTATATTAACAGGATGATTTGCTGAAACTAAATGAGAAATTCATCAACAGACGTTTAGAAACTCATGCTAGTCGTATTAACTTGATGCAATATCCTGCATACCAAGAAATAGCTAATTTATATGTACAGCGCCACCTATACCTGTACAGATCAACAGAGAATCACTTAAAGTCAATGCATGGTGCACATTCATCTTTCTACTGTGATTATCTTAAGTCAATTAATGTGTCAGCAGTGTGTGATAATAGTGTGACCTCTAACCTTCCAGAGGTTGTAGTGTCAGCCTGTCAGTTTGAGAAGATCAGTCCAAGACATTATCTAAGGTATTTTTTTTTATATTTCTAGTCTTATCGCCAAAGAAGGTCACTCAACATTTACGTACTAAACAGATACTTTTGAAAGCAATTTCTAATATCTAGCCAGGAATACTTGGAATTGTAACCTCTTATCACCATCCAAATACTTAAATTAAAGCATACAATAGCTTTGACATGATAGTAAACACAATTTCTTTTTTAAGCATCTTAAAAATCAACAGGATTTATAAACTTCCGTGCACAAAAAAGTTTTTCATATTACTCCCTTGATTGAGCAAGATTACATGAAATCACAGGCCAACATTTATCTTTGTTGCTAGTACAATGCTCATGAATAAAAGCAGATGTGGGGTGTGTTCCCATAAGATAGCAGTCTAACAACATGAATAACAGAAACATCAAGAGGGCAACATAAAGTCTTCAACAATAGACGATAGCTGTAGTAAACGGCGGATGGTTCAATAGAATGCTTGCTTCATTGTTCTGATATGATTCTTCTTTACTGGCACACCACTTAGAGAACAATAACTCTGACTTACAGATGAATGATTTGTTCAGTATGATAACTGTTTCATCGTTCTGATATGATTCTCCTTTATAGGCACACCACTTCAGAGACAAACATCTCTGACTTACAAATGGATGAGTTTTTGTTCAGTATACGGAAGCTTATAGAGGATACCTGTTACATTGTGCTGATATTTATGTCTGTTATTATCATCAAGGAGTTGTTAGGAACTGTCATATGGCTCTATATGAAAAGGTTTGTATATTATCTTTTATTCTGAGAGTAATTCATTCAGTACCTGTAAATAGATATAGGAAGATGTGGTATGAGTGCCAATGAGACAACTCTCCATCCAAGTAACAATTTATAAAAGTAAACCATTATAGGTCAAGGTACTGCCTTCAACACGAAGCATTGGCTCACACCGAACAGCAAGCTATAAAGGGCCCCAAAAATTACTAGTGTAAAACCATTCAAACGGGAAAACCAACGATCTAATCTATATAGAAACGAGAAACACGTATGAACTACAAATACAGACGACAACTACTGTACATCAGATTCAAGCCTACAACCTTTTGAAATTTATATTATGAAGTATTTACTTTCTTAATAATAATATTTTGCCTAGGAAAGTAGTCATAAACAGATAATCTATGCTGTTTCAAGCTGAGGAAAGTTTCAAGGCTACATCTCATCTCAGGGCTATCACTATTGTCCTTCATTGAGATTGTAACAAAAAAAATGTCCCCCTATTCTCAGAACCATCAATAATCTACAAGTATCAGAAGTCAAGTACAAAATTACAGTAAAATCAGGATAACATAATAAACTGGTACAATGAATGGTAAATTATTGTCATTTCCATTCATCAAAAATAGTTGATTAAACAATGTTTCACTATTTTATGATGCACAATAACTGGGATTTCTGGCCATGGAACTATTTCAAAACTTCCAAAACAAAACAAAACAGAATTTCACATTTGATGTATGAAGTGAATCAAAATGACAGATTTTGTTTTCTTTACAGATCGGGATTTATTAATCTACGGATTATATTTGAAGCAGATGAACCACCTAACGTCCCTCACAGATGAATGACAAGAAATAAGTGATGAATAAACAAGGAATCGCAATATCTTGCCAACCTTCATGACTGTGGTATAACTATAATGATATATCGGTGCTGTTTGAAAATGGATAGCCATAGACAATTTAACTGCTGTAAGGATCATTTTCATGGCCTAGATAGATAGAATATCAACTACATTTATCAATTCATCATCCACCAAGTAGTTGGCTTTGTTGTGTGAGGTGAACATCTGAACCAAACTGCATAACTGAAACAGCTATCTGGTTGTAAATATAGTTAGATACTGCTAGTTGGTTTATCAATGTTAGACAAGTCTAGTTGTTTTGTCAGTGTTAGACGTGTCTAGTTATAATATCTGTGCAATAGGTAAAGCTTGATATCAGCTGTGATGAAGAAAAACTTGTTTTATGTTCTTTTTTATATTTTATGTTGATCATTTGATTTAAATTTCTGTCAGAAAAAAAGTTTATATTATTAAATTGTCTTCCTGAAAATATTTTCATGATTGTATTTTTTTAAATATTTTTTTTTTAATTTTGTATTTTTACAGTTTGCATCTTTGTTTTAATGTTATTTTCAGACTTTGTGCTTGAATCAATAGACAGTGTATAGTAAGAATTCATAAAATTTCATCTTGAAATCAAATTTTAAAGTTTACAAATTGAATATTAATGATGATTGCAAAGATAGGTAATTTAGATATGATTGAAATATAAGTTTTATTCAAATCAAGTAATAGAACCATGTTAACAATTGTGTTATTTTATTTAGTTTTTCCATCTAATTTGTTAATATGAATTTGTTTGTATATAGGCTTTAATGGTGCAGCAATATGATTATTGAATTAGAGAGGTGCTTATTGTGGGATAATTCAGTATCTTATGGCAAGTCAGATTGATCATAAACATGGGTACTTATATTTCTATGTTATCTTTACTGCACTGAAAGTTACAGATTAGAATGGTGTAGTACTTTTCAGGACAATTTGCAAATACCTTAATATGACATCCCACTTTCACTTAGGGTAATGGGAACTGTATGGAGGTTCATGGTTAGATCTTGTTCAATATTTCAGCAGATGTGACATTTTATTGTGTCAACTCTTGCTTTTTCAATAAGCATATCAAGTTGCTAAAATCTACGTCATTTTGACTTTAGGTGGATAGTTGTCTCATTGGCAATCATACCACATCTCTTATTATATATATTAATTATATTTACATGATAAATATGTCTAAAAACTCCTGCCTTTTACAAGAACATTGGTGAAAACCAGTATGCCATCCCTAATTTAAATGCTTCTCATCATCCAGTTTATAGTTTGTAGTTTTACTTAACTAGCTGTGAAATGTACATCTGGTGCAGTAAAATTGGTACCTTAATGTTATTACTTTACTTCATTTACATACACATGTCACTGTATAAACTCACTCTTTTAGATACCATTGCTGTTACAGTTGTTAACTAAATATGCTTTACTCACTGAAGCATAATAAGATGTTTTTTTATATTTTCATGTATTTTAATTAATGTGTCTTAACTTTGTTAGTTATGTTGTTTGTTTTGTCTAATGTGTGTTTGTTTATTTAATTGTATGATCTCTTACATCACTAATATTTGATGAATAAATAAAAGAAATACATTATTTATTTTGATTCTTTTATTACTGCCTACAAATGGCCTACTTTATAATAAAATAATGTATCCAATTATTATAACAGCTGCTTATGTTCTATTGTTGGAGTGCTCACTCACAGATGTTTACGCCATATGTCTTTTTTATTCATAGCAGGATTTCTTAACTTAAATTATCTTTGCACAATTTGTTTTACAAAAAAATATGCAATCTTGGTAACATTCTCAATTAGCTTACAGTGAACTTTTAAACAAACATATATGACAATACGTAGAACCAAACAGGCACTGATCATAAAACACCATGGGAACTAACTAGAGTTGCTGTAAGCATTGCTCACAAAATAATATCACTTTCTCTTGAAAGTTTATAATTAGCTAAGGGAAAACCTCAAAATAATATATAAAAAAACAGGAGGTGAACTTTTTAATCAATATACTATTGAAATTGTTGCGAGGTTTTTATTAATGCGACTGTATGAGTATCGCAATAATAAAAACTTGGATTCTGATATCTGACACATATATCTGTTTGTAGATTAGGCTAAAACCACAATAATTAGTCTTGTATTTGTGTTCATTCTTCAAATATCGCAATAATAAATGCACACAATCATTTCTGAATTTACAGTATTTTCATATTGCAGCCTTTTGACTCAAGAGAATATAATTTTTCAAAAGGTTACATACTGTGGTAGGACATTCTCATACTCGTTCAAGTAAGAGCAAGTAAAAGAAGCAAAAGAAGCTTACAATCAATACAATTTGGAACACATTCTGATACTCATTCAAGTATGAGCAAGGAAAAGAAGTTAAATGAAGCTTACAATCAGTACAGTTTGGGGAAAAAATTGACTGTTTTATGTTTTCTAATCATTACAAAATAATTGCAAAACAGTTAACTTTTTCTAAGAAGGTGTTTAGGAGGAGTTGTGGATACAAAATGAGTACACCTCAAATAAAGAAATGAAAAAGTCCATGATTTGCTAAGGGAAACACAAAAAGGAATTCCTATCAAAAAGAAAAATAGGAGGTGCAAAGTGGAAAGTTTTTAGATAGTTTTGAAAAATTTCAGTAAGGGGTACACATTTTGTTTCCATAACTGGAAAACAACTTTGGTATATAAAGCTCTCGAGGATAGTATGTGAGACAGACTATCAGGGGATAGTTTGAGTGCTTGTTTGGTTTGAAATCTAGTTTCATGCCTTTTACTGGCAAAGTAGCTTGTAAGTGCATTTTGTTGGTTGGTGTTTAATGTGCACATAGAGAACATTGTTGATTATCTTACTGCAGACTGCAGGTGTTTGCAATCTCTGTGCATAGATTAGGATTGTAATGGGGCAGATTTTTTTAACTTTTACAACAAGTTGTGCATGTTGATTGTTCCCACTGCTGGTCAAACATGTCTTCAAGATCTCTGTACTTAAAATAATTAGGGCTGGTAAAACTTTCAAGATATTCCGAGACAATAAATGCAACAAACGTATCCTACAGTAGGTTCCAGGTTCTCGTTTTATTTTTGAATACCGGGGTATATTAGATGTAAATGATAATAATTAGTTCAATGATGGACTGGACCCTCTTTCGTCATGTATCTCTGCCATAAGTTTACTTACTGAAAACAAAGCATGGAAAACATCATTAACAAATACAGGTATTTCTGCTGTATCTGCAATATTTCTACCAACCTTTGTTGAATGAGTGCATTCGTTTTTCCTGTTTTTTCCTGGTTTTTTTATATATATATATATGTGTGTGTATGTCTGAAATAAACATTCGATTATATTGATAAAAGATACCAAAGTGGTATTCAAACTCAAATAAGTCGAAAAAAATAAACTGACAATGCCAAGACAAAAAAACTTAAGAGACAAACAACAGTACACAAAACACTACATAGAAAACTAAAGAATGGGAAGCAGGAATCCCACTAAAAACCAGGGGTAATCTCAGGTGCTCCGCAAGGATAAGCAGATCCTGTTCAACATGTGGTATCTAGTCACGGGCTGCTATTTGCCAAACTAGTCAAATTTGGTATATGGTCAGCTGCAAGTGACACTTGCGTTTCCAATGCCCTGATTCTTCTATTTTTGAGTTGTTTAATATTATCATAATTATGTGGTCCTAATTATGTCAATTGAACCGATTTTCATTTGTGACATTGGTATTGTATATTTTGTGGTTTTGTTGGTTTTATTGATTTCTTTTTTATTTTCAATTTTTCAAATTCGATTTTCCCAGTCTACAACTTGTTTTTTTCTTGTTAATGAGAATGCCATCCTTTTTCTACTTTCTGGTTTTTTTTCACATTGCTTTCCTCCTTTAGTGTTACCAGAGACGTATTATATGTCTCTGGTGTTACTTTGGCGATGTAGTTTGGTTTTGAAAAGCAAATTCATTATAGTCGTTGATGCTGATATATTTTGGTGCTAATATTTCTAGCAGTAATCCTGCATGCTGTGATTGTTCACATCGTTGTCATTTGGTCTTTAATGAATAATTGTTTTATATTGACGGCTCCTTATTTGTAAAAACAATTTCCCTTATTACGTAGCAGTATAATGATAACACAATGCAGGTATGTGCTATCCACCAAAGGCCTAGGGACGAGGATATAAACAACTATAAGTATGTAGCACTATGTTCCACCAGAGACATATATACACATGTCTCTGGTTCCACTTGCTGGCTACAGAATATAACATTTCATTGTTTTAAAAAGGTAACGGCATGGGTAGCACGTTGTGGACGTTTCCATTGCTGGGGTCACAATGATTCAATTAGCAAATTATCAACAAGGAAAACTAATTAGACGGTTGGAGAGAAACGTAGCTTGTCTATGAAGTTCACTTTGTTGGCAACAATACGTTTCGAAAAGTGAACGAAAGATGTGTGGATACCAAGGACACTTTCAAAACTCAAAAGGTCGAACTCATAACGCCGTGGCAAAAACGAAAGGCGACGAAAAGATAAACAAGCCACGTTAACCTAGAAATCTAAATGCATATCAACACGAACCCAACCAAAAACAAGGGGTGATGTCACGGGTGCTCCGGAAAGGTAAGCATATCATGCTCCACTATTGGCACCCCTCGTGTTCATTATGGTTAGTGTAAATTCGATGAGTTCCGAAAAAAATTGTGCAATTTACAGCTAAGGCAATTTTTGCCTGGAGTAGAAAAACCTTAATGTTTCGAAAAATTCCACATTTTATAAGCAGTCAAAAGTAAAATAACAAAAATACCTAACTTCGAGGAACATTCAAAACGGAAAGTCCCTTATCAAATGGCAAAACCAAAAGCTCAAACACATCTAACGAATGGAAAACAACTGTCATATTCCTGACTTGGTAAAGGCATTTCCTTATGAAAAAAATGGTGGGTTAAACCTGGTTCTATAGCTAGCTAAATTTCTCACTTGTATGACAGTCGCATATAAATACATTATATTGACAACAATGTGTGAGCAAAACAAACATTTACAGAAAATGAACATATCAATGATATTTCATGTCAATACAAAAGTGCTGACTACCGACTGGTGATACACTCGGGGATGAAACGTCCACCAGCAGTGGCATCGACCCACAACTCATCAAATATACCAGGTCTATAATTTGGTACGACAGACGCAAGTTTCGTCTACGCAAGGATTTGTATAGTAATACAAATCCTTGGTCTACCTAAGACTTATCATAGGTACTCGAATAAAAATAGTTTTGGCCCTATCAAATACGAAGCTGAAGAGCATTAAAGACCCAAATTTCCAAAATATCATATAAAATACGAATGAGGCAATATATACCTGGGGTTTAAAAAAAAACAACCCTAGTGTTACGAATAATTCCACATTTTGTAAGCAGTAAATATGTAACAAACCGGTTCAGAAATATATCATCTGTAAGCGATATGCCAGAACATGTACTGTACATCGCTAGAGGAAAGAAGAAAAAAATGAACCTTTTACCATGCTATATAAGATCAGCAACCAGGAAGTGAACATCGCAGCAAGTCATAAACTTAAACCACCAAAGTAGAATCTCCAGAAATATTGACAAAAAACTTTTTCTAGATCCCAGCATGTAACACCACAACGAGGAAAGAATCGTTCTACCGGCCAAGAATCATTAGGGATTGAAACGCCACACCCTACTAACCGTAGGCCTACTAAGTGACATCTGTCAGCAGTCTTAAATCCTTCAAGAGGTTCCTGACGTACAGGTTAGATAATACTTGGTCATGTTTAATGAAGATTTAAATGTTCATAAAACATGACCAAGTATTGTCTGACCAATTTAGAACATATTCGAATGACATAACAAAATAAGCCTCTCCCATTGTATAACCTTTGCAATAATCAAACCTAAATATGAGCTCACTTTAAGTGTCAACATAGTCAGTAAAAGGGATGTAAATCATATGTAATGGCATTTCAACCGATGGAATCAAAAAACAATGAGAAACAAAAAAGGATAAACTATTTAAAAATGGAGATTTCTTCTGCTTCAGGTACAATTTAATAATTATATATTTAAAATTCCTTCATTTTAAAAAACACACACTGTTACAAATCAGATTATCTAATATATTTTGAAGTTTTGTCATCAAAATAATACAATTATATATTGTATATTTTTGATGACAAAACTTCATCAATAAATTTTACAATTACAATCGTTTCAACATTAGATGCTTACTTTTTTTTATTGATGAATGTGTTGGGTTTTTTTTTTTTTTTTTATTCTTTTGAATTTTTTATCAACAGGCATTGTTTCTTAAAAAAAACATTGATTTTAAGGTATCATATAAAAATTAGATTAAACATTATTTTACCGACACCTTTGCCCCTTTTTCGATCCTTTTTTTTTTGTTGAAATCTCAACTTAAAATGCTTTCATAGTTCTATTCTCCTGTTTTCATTTATAAGAATTAGACAAACAACAGTATTCATGTTTTTTTTCTTTTGCTCTTTTCCTTTGGAAATTGCCTCGGAGTATTGTACACTTCGTTAGT